TGTCTTCTAAACTCCAACTGGCTCTATTCCACTGCTGCTGCTGTTCTTGGTGGTCATCCCAGACTACTGGCATCTCCAAAATGCTGGAGTTTCTTGCTGCAACCAGGCTTCACTTTCACCGATAGCCTCTCCTGGGCTCTTTTCATGGTGCCATGCCTCAGTTTCTCTTCATGGTCCCTTCAGTCCTAGAGCTTCAACTGCTACTGAGTCTGCACCTTCACCAATGGTCCTGCATTCTCACAATGCCAAGCCTCAGCTGCTCTCCAGTGACCCCTTCATGCCTTCAAAGTAGTACCACCTGAAAGACTTACACAGCACCAAGTTTGACTGCCGGCACAAGGTACGACCTAGGCCACCTCTAGAACACGGCTTCTGTGTGCTAACTCTCAGGAAACATTTCCCAGAACGTTTCATCTCAGTGATGCCGGGCTCTTCATCACCCCTAATTTCTTGACACCAGCTGACATGGATCAATTTCCCCAGGGAAGCAAAGGCTTTATTTTAATGTTTCTCGTCTCTTGTTAACCACAGCTGATGTTTCTTCAGCCCCAGCTAACTAGAACCACAGATTCTTAACTCAAAATATGCCACAGCCCCGATAATCTTTAAGAGACGTTCACATTCCTCTCTGGAAACTTCACAAGTCCGGCCTCCATTGTCTGCACTCCTCACAACATTCTTATCTTCCAAGCTCCCACAGAACAACCCACTAAGTGTGGAACATTCAATGGCTTTTTAAAGTTCCAAAGTCCTTCCACAATCATCCCAAAACCAACATGGTCAGGTCTGTCGTAGTAATATCCAACTCCTGGTGTCAATTTCTGTCTTGGTCAGGATTTCTATAACAAAGATGAAAAACCATGACTAAAGCAAGTTGGGGAGGAAGGGATTATTTCAGCTTATACTTCCACATCATAGTCCATCACTGAAGGAAGTCAGGACAAGAACTCAAACAGGACAGGAACCTGGAGGCAAGAGCTAATGCAGGAGCCATGGAGGGGTGCTGCTTACTGGCTTGCTCCATGTGGCTTGCTCAGCCTGCTTTCTTATAGAACCCAGGACCACCAGCCCAGGGATAACCCCAACCAAAATGGTTTGTCCCCTCCCCGCTCCAATCAATCACTAATTAAGAAAATTCTCTGCAGGTCTGCCTACAGCCTAATCTTATGGAAGCATTTACTCAGTTGGGGTTCCCTCCTCTCAGATGACTCTAGCCTGGGTCAAGCTGACATCAAACTAGACAGCACAACTACCTTAGTGTGTTTATTGGAGTCAACTAACTTTGCTAGCATGAACTGAATTATGGAAGGGTGATTCTGTGTGAATTCCCTTTCTCCATTTCTATCGATTTTCCTTTATTTCCCCTTTTCCTTTCAGTTTTAATCTTTGAATAAACAGGCTTTTCAGGAACTTAGTCCAGTTTGCTTCTCTCTTCCTCAAGGCCTCCCAAGCCGGTGAGGTGAGGACTAGCCAGGAATGTTTGTTCTAGCTCAACAACCCAGGAAGGGATAAGATATGAAGACAAGTGGTTCTCAATCAGGGGTGATGTTCACCCCACCCGCCAGGAGACATTTGGCAATGCCGCGAGTGGAAGGAGTGTGCTGCTAGGATCTGTGACCACAGAGCAGGCCCTGAATCCCTCAGTGCGGAGAACACCAGCCTGGACAGAGTTGTCTGGTCCAAATCGCCAACAGTGTTGCAGGTGGGGGAATCCTGGCACACGTAGATGCTGCCAGCTGAAGAAGACTGTGGTATGGTGGCAGAGACTCAGATTCTCAAGGTAAAAGCTCAGCCACCAGTATCAAATTGTCTTTGGTTCTCTTTGTTGTTGTTGTCTGTATATAACTGTGGGTAATTTTTTCAATGCTATACAACAGTTTCTTCATCCAGAAAAGGAGGCTAATAAAATATCTCTCTCACTAAAGTGTAAGCTCCTTCAAGGCAAGGACATGCTATGCTTAGATTAGGAATGGATATGCAACAGGGAATACTAAATAAAAATTTGTGGGTTATCTCAGTTATTTTAAGGCCTAAAGCAGAGAACATATTAAGCATAATGAGGAGGAGAGAAGCCTCAGACAGTGGGGGAGGTATGCTGATATTATTTATCATCTAGGGTGCGCTGAACTAACTAATTTCATAAAATATTGTTTAAATTTAGTTTATTTATTTTTAGGATAAGTTAATACTTAGTGCACAAGGTGATTGATAAGATCTTTTTCTTATTCTTTCTTTTTCTCTCCCCCCCCCTTTTTTTTTAAAGACAGGATCTTGTATAGTCCAGGCTGGCCATGAAATTCTGATATTATTCTTGCCTTTATCTCCCAAGTGGTAGAATGGTAAGTGTCACCATGCCCAGTTTAGACAGACCACCCTGTGATTTCAGTAGATAAAAACAGAGACAAACAACTCCTGCAATCATGTATGAATACAAAAATAAAACCGAGAAGAACATTTGTGCCAACCACAAAAATTAATAATTATCCCCCATCTCATGTAATGAGGTGCTTTTCACCAATCTTCACTTGATTCTTCATTCAACCCTAACAGTTACTCCCACCTCCTGATAGCATCTGCTTACTTGAACCCCCCTCGGTCACCTGAGAAGTCCAAACTGCATTCTTTCTGACAGTGATGCCTTGCTGTTCCTCATAGTTACAAGCCCAATTTGTCTAACTACAAGGGTAGTCTCC